GTTTCTGATTTTAAAAATAAAAAATGAGTAAATTTTATTTGATCACTTGATTGTCATTATTTATTGCCACTACTGTAGCTCTGAGTGCCAAATCCAGTGATCGCAAGTATGCTGAAAAACGATATGATAGTTTTGATAAGGTTTTATCAGCTTATTTTGCGCATTTTGGCATAATTTTATTGATAGAATTGTCCATCGGGAGGGGTTTATAGTTAATAAGCTTGTTCCGGGGAAAGGACAGGAGAAACAGTTGACGTTTATCGCTTTTAAGTATGTTTCCCTTATAAAGTGCTGTTGGAAACTCTGCCATTTTGCTGGTTGGTTCCCACAGTGACTTGTTATCTTCTTCTGAACTATCATCCTGATCAGACTGAGCATGTGGTTCTCCTTCGACATTGTTTTGAGCTTGTGAATCACCTTCATTATTTTGGGGTTATCCATTAGTTGTCTCGTTATTCGTCATGGTCATAAAAACGCGACCGGAATTTTGGAGCGGACTGCTAACCAGAAAAAAACGGCCTAGCATTAGAGTAAACAAGTCACGTCATATACAGTATATAGAAAAAAAAAAAGATGTAATAATTGTAATACTGGATCGCTAACCAATAAAAGGCCAATAGCACACTATATGCACTGCATCTTGAGCGTCATACATTTTTGAGTGCAAGATATCATATTTCTTTGAACTGGTAGATCAAGAGCGACCAGTTTTTGATTGTACTGTATATTATTCGGTTAATTATACGTATACTGTATAATTATGTCATTAAATTAATATTCAGTCACTTGGTAAAATTGTGTATAAAATAGGACCAGCCTTTATGAATAAAAATGGAGAGATTACGCGAAATCCTGAATTGTCTTACATGTCAAAAGACTTTATGAATGATACTATTCATGCAAAGGTACTTTAATACTTGTCAGAATATGCCTACAAAGGTTCAGGAATAGTGAAGGTTTTTTTAAACTGGAATGTACTGGATATTGTTTCATTTCTCAAGTTCAAATGCAATCTTACTGGAAAAAAAGCATGACACACGCAAAGTTATTATAATGGAATTGAAAAAGAACACAATTATAGAATTATCGCGTTTTCAATACGTTTCCTAGCGATTTTTTTAGCAAACGACGATAAGGAACGTGCTTCATTACTTAACAGGATCAATGAACACCATCATAATATATTAGATTTCATTTTGAACAAAGTGTTCGCTGATGAAGGTTTAATGCGTTATTTTTGCACTAAGACATTGGGGAGTAAAGTGGTAGGGTATCGGAGTTCTTCTATTTAGTCCACGAGTTTCACCTGATGTTCCTGATTATGTTAAATCTGTTTCTGAAGGTTCCTTAGTACAAAGAAAAGTCCATAAATTGTTGCAGCGTGCTTTCTCGATCCTAGTACTTACGTAGGTGGAATAACCAAAAAGAAAATTCTAATATTTTACGCGTCTATAGAACTTTTTCTTTACAGACACACTCTGATTGATCTTTCAAAAAAAGGAGATTTATCAATAATTAATATTTCCATATTATTTCAAGGGGCTTACGCAAGTTCAGTAACCCAAAATGAATTATTGGATTATTTTATTTCTTCTCTTGATCTCTTCGAAAAAATATAAGGGTTACTATTGTCGTGGGCTATCCGGCGAGTCAGTCACTAACCCACAGTACTTCTTGCTACGTTTGGTTAACAATAAGGGTAGGTTTCTCATTTAACTTTTGAGCGTGTCTTCGATTTGGCCGGTCTTCGCTTTAACTTCTCTACCGACTAACTTAAAACCCTTCCAATGCCAATTCCCTTAGGCAAAACCCGGTTTTCTCTTGTAGTCTATGTAGCCCAAGTTATAAGTCTTCTTTATTGTTTATTACTTACACACACAAATCTCTAGTCTAACTTGTTTACATGCTACTGAATTGTACATGTACTGTATTTATACATTCGCCTGTTTACATGTTTCCATCTGTTCACCATTGTACGTTATTCTAGAAATTCCTACCTATAAAATTTTCCCACCTTAATTTTTCACCGTTCCTCCCATAACAACACTAATTACGTAACGTATCGCGTTACCGTATCCCCTTTTTACCCACAACACTATTTAACCCGCATGAGGACATCAGCTAACGCTTAGATGCTTTGCAATTTATCTGGACCTTGCTAAATTCTAGGACAGCGAACGCATTCTGATTTATAAGATCTGGTTAACTGGCTCGTTGTTCAATTGTCTCGAATGAATATCATGCGTTTTTATTAGCTTATCGTATTTGCTTAACCGTCTTAGCTTATTTGCCTGGATCTTTTACTAATCGATCGTGACAAATTTTTGAGATTTCGAACAGTTGATATTTTATGTGCTGTGTTTTAGTGGGTACCGAGGTTTATCTCTTGTTTAAAAATTCTGTGAACTCGAACGACCCAATTCTTGAAAGTATAAATTTGAATATATAAAATTAACTTTTGATGTTTTCATCAATAAAGTATATTTATTGATCTCGTTACTTGAGGAATTTGAATTCATAATACAAGGTATTGTTTTCCTCTATTAAACAGACACAAATTTCGAGACGGTTACGATGGCCGTCAATGTTATCGAATCCTTTTTATTGTTGGTTGATCGCGCAGCAAACGGACAAGATTCTCTTGCATCAAATTTAATGTAGATATTAATTAATTCATTTTATTCATCTTTAGTCCTTTATAAATGGAAAGGATAATGATTTCTACTTTAGAATCGATGGTTGTAAGTTCTTTGAAACCTTGTGGTATCACTGCGAACAAGATCGAATTGAATTCGCCCAAGAAATTTCTGAGGAAAATTTATCGATAACAAGGATTCATTGTGATTTTATTCGCTCTGTGGTGACAAGTTACTCATATGCCGCAGTAAGTTTTCCTTTTCATCTGCTGAATATTGGATGATTTCTAGTTTATTCGTTAAATTGAACTAGGCGGATGACTCTAGTAGATTGATTCGTGGTGAAATTATAAAAATTATAAAATCTTTCCTTGAACTGATGATCCACAGAAGGCTGCCATTGTTGCAGTATTCACGATTATGAATCTCAACTTCCATTTAGTTTACTAGGACAAAAACATAGAATTTTATCAAAAAATTTGTTCGACTTGAAGCTACATTAGACGTCGAACATTTATACTATGAAGCTCTAGAAAGTGAACCTGAGAATGGGGATAAATTCAGACACGGTGAAAGAAGAAAATAAGAAAAATGCATTGGATTGTTATTTCTAGTGATACTTTCAATGCAAAAAAAAGAAGTTCCCTGTTCTTTATTCTCTAGATCACGTAAAGCTATGCGTAAACATAATAGTAAATACAATGCACTTATTATTGCTCTTCAGCGAATCAATCATTATTTTTTTTAATTTTTCAATGATTCAGTAACACATACACCTTTCGGAGACTTTTTTGTTTTCTTTTTAGTCTCTTCAGTTTTAGAGGCACCGCCATACTTGTTGAGGTATTCTTGTTCTTTCTGAGTGTCAATCTTGGTAAACTAATACTCAACCTTGCCCCAACTTCGATATTGTAACGGACAAACGGCGAGTCTGTCGCCAATACCAACAGAGATTCACGTAACCGTTACTGGTGAATAAAGACAGACAAGTAAGTGATTAGAGGCGTTCGATTTGACCGAGTTCTTCTCACTTCTAACACATACACGGCTTTATTTAATTTGAAATTTCGCATTTTTTTATACATTTCTCAATTATTACATAAGTTAAATTAAACATACCAAATATAGATTGATAAGATTAAGTATTATTACATAAAGGTTACATAATAATTTCTACACTGTCATGGTCGCCGTTCGCGGTTATTAAATTGACTGGCCGTGCCAGGATCAGATCTCGCGCTATGCAGCGTATATCGATCACGTGACAAATCACAGTATCGTTGTTCGTTGCGCGGCGCGTACAATCTTTCATACCCGCATTATACCTCCAATGTGCCATTTATATGTTTATTACTACATTATTATGAAAATTGATGGAGATACACAAGTATAACGCTTTTATTTTATCCCTTACAATATACATGGCTCATGTGTCTGGTTATTTCTTAGTGGTGCATTCAGTTGACGGACGATGGATTCCCTTGTCAATGGCATATATAGACAAATCAAGGCCGAAACGAGATAGATAAGGTTTATTGAGACACCAATTACCGAGGCACACTTTTCGGGATTATTTGCAAATAGTGTATTATTGAGTTTGCTTTCTTGAAGGGATTGTAACGGTGTAACGGCGAGCCAGTCGCAGATATTCGCGTAGCCGTTACTGGGTAAGTAAATGAAAGGGGGATTTGAGGCGTGTTTGTATTTGGCCGAGTCTTTATTAATTTTCTCACTAATTCCTTGTTTCTCCTTCTACTTCTCTATACTTTTCATGTTATTTATACTTTACATTTGGCTATGGCGGCTTAGAAATAATAATAATTGATGATACAACGACATGGCTAAAGTTAAATTACATAATTCTTTTTACAATCCTTCCCGTCCTTCCTTTATTACCTAATTATCACAGCCGACTTACTCATTGTTACGACGATCGGTCATGTGACTAACGTCGCGTCCCATTTCTCCCTGTTACAGTATCCATTTCCCAGTCATGGCTAGTTAGAGCCCGGAACGTACGTTTTCTAACGCATAAATATAGTCTGTTAGAGTGGTATTTACGTTAATTATGAGCACTTTTTCAGATTCGTGATTCACGGTGAAAGCTGGAAGAATATCGTACTTTGCAGCGGTAAATTTCATGTCACAATTAACAAAATTTCCAAGGTTTGCTAGTAATCAATATTGTTCTTAGTGATAAATATTTCCATATAAAAACAGAATCACTTGTTTCTGGACGACTTGAAATAAGGTAATAACGCCAAACAGATACTAGAATATACGTATACTTAGCATCAATGCCAAAGACAAGGTATTCTAGTGTCAGAGGGTAAAAATCGTGACGCGATTCCAATCACGTGATTAATCTTCGCGATAGTGCTGCGAAGGACCCGTTCCGATCACGGTACTCAGGGTGGTATGAAGGGAAAAGTAAGCAAAAGTGATGAAAATGGTTAAAGTAGTAGTAGAATAGCGTGTTAGATAATTAGGTAATGAAGAGAGGAGTGTAAAAACGATTAGATAATATGAAATACTTGTGATTGAGCATTATGTAATTAGGGAGAATCGTGAGAAGACATTAGATAATCGATGTTACCTTTTAGAAATATAAAAACCGTCCCAACTAAGATGTATAAAAAGAGGGAAGTAAAAAGTAAATAAAGAGGATGCTGAGATTGCCTGATCAATCGAATTATCTTTTACTCGACCAAATCGTACACGCCTTAAAATTCGCTAAGACCCCTTACCTCATCGACGGTTACGCGACATTCTGCTCAATTTAGCGACAGACTCGCCGAGTGACCGTCACACTAGTAAGGCATATTGTATTAGAAAATTGTGTAGTGCAAAATTTCGATTGATAGGTTTCTGTCCTTACCACTGGTATTTATATGGTGCAATATAGTCCAATAAAGATACATGTAAATATGACAATAAGGAAAATAATGTTATCTTTTAATCTGTTCTGGATTTTTCACCACTTTTCATATCCCTTTGTGTGATTCTCCATAATAGACAGGTATCTTTTTCGAAGATAAACAATTTTGTGTTACCATTGTTGTCATGGCAAGTTTTGATCACAAAAAGTAATTCGAAACCCACCCAATAGTGCATCAAACCAGACATAAAAAGCCTTGCCCTTCAACAGGAGTGCATCATTATAGATCATGTGTAATGCAATGCTGATTAAAACCTTTGAGCCATGATTTTGTAATATTATTTCCATTGGCAGACTATTTTCCTTCTATATTAGACTCTTCTATCCATTCTTCAACTTTTTTTTGTAAAGATGGGTAATTATTTTTGAAGGTGAACCAAAAATTTTCAGGGTACAAATTTATTACCCCATAATTAAGAGGTACTGTA